GTATAAATTGAATGTCGACGCAGCATTCTTACCTGGTTCTGCTCGAGGGGGTGCCATACTGAGGAATCAACTGGGTGAAATGATCTATGCAACAACCTATCAACTCCAAGCAGATTCGAGCGAGGAGGCAGAGATGAGAGCTTTGAAGCTAGCTGTTGAAATGGCAATGGAGAACGGATATACCGATACCCAGGTGGAAACCGATGATGTCCGAACGTTGATGGTGTTGGAGGAATTAGGCAATCTCGCTGGGCTACAGGAATTCAGGAGAAAGGCTATGGGAATGGGCTTCTCTTTCGGCCATGTTTTAAGAGAAGGAAATGGGCCTGCTCATTTCTTAGCGGCCCAAAACATTGCTCCAGCTCTTTGTGTTCGGTTTGATCAGGTTGAATTTTTACCCCGACAGGTAAAATCGAGTTATTATGCGGATTTGTTCGGTATTCCTAGATTTCGGTTTTAAATTGGACTTTCTTCTTTCAGGTTTTTGTTCTTAATCTGTATTTTTGGGTAAGGTCTAGCCCTCCACAAACTAGGTGTTAATTTCTTCCCTCGATTAATTATTCTTGTATTTCTAAAAGGGTATACCCTTTCTGAAGAGGTTTTGGTTTAGTCCCCCTCTTCTTTGTACCGTTTTTTAATATTAATAAAACTCGGCAAACGTTCCCTGGCGTTTGCCCCACTGATTTTGGTGGTTTGCCTTCCGGGTTTAAAAAAAAAAAACCAACGTACTAAAACAACAATATAATCAATAGCCCGATCTTCTCCGTTAATCCATCCAAAACCTTGTCTCCGGCTCGATACATTCTCTCAGGCTTCTATACTTCGTGTATTACCTATACATGAGAACATAGGAGAATAGAATTCTCGTAAGCAATAATTCTTAGTAAGTCACCATTTTATCCACTAAAACATTTAGGGAATCTTAGCTAATCATAAAGAGATACTCATGCAGAATACACCACACATATACTATAATCACACATGATAACCACACATAAGCAATCATGTATCAAACATCCATATATTTCCTTATTCATCATTCTTTCTTCTTATCTTATTCCTTGACTTGATGGGCCCGTAGCTCGTGTCCTGGCCCCTCGCTGATGACCTCAGGTAGCTAGCCCTCAGCCATCAGAAGCAACCCCGGGACTCCCCGCGGAAGGAGATCCCGCTACGGTCAGCTCAAGTAGTTAGTTGGGGGCACGGCTACCTTGTAACATTACTTATCTTTCATTACTTCCATTATCATCATAACTTTCTTTCATTGTTTGTTCCATGTGAACCCAACCCCAAATCAAACATAGAACTTGAAATTCACATATCTCATGACATACAATTTCAAGTATTTATGCACATACATCGCATTCACAATGTTCCATAACTTCACAATTAACACCACCTGTCAATCGGTACATATAACTTGGAATTCACATATTTCATACCATACGATTTCCAGTACCCTTACACATATATCATATTCACAATTAGCTAATCTTCCACACTTTATTTAGAACTATCATGTATAGGTGGTGGTGACTTACCTGGTTCCTGCGGAGTATTTACTCTTGTGTGTGCGTGTCCGACATCCACGAGCAACGGTTCTTTGATGAGCAACTATATATATGATTTACATTTGATCAACATAGTTTCACATGTATTCAAACTTAAATCCATGTTTGTAGAAAAATCCCTAGATTCAAAGATGAGGGGATGTTCACCAATCAACCCCTACAAGTGACAAAATTCCCAATTTCCTATATAAAATCGCGCATAGCTTCGGGGTGGCTAGATAACTAAGAACCGATTGAATTTCATGAACCAAGGCTCATCATCCATTAACTAATTCTCATAATATCAAGGACTCCATGTATCTATCTAGAACCAGCACCTATACATTAAGAAACTACTCAATTTCTTTCTTTAATTTGGGTAAAACTTTGGGGTAGCTAAATACTCAAAACTTCACAAGGGTTTTTAATCAAGGATGAACAACAACTCCATAACAACCTTATTATTAAGAAAAGCCACTAATTTTACTAGAATCAACACTAAATCAATCAACCCTAGCAAAATCCACAACCAAGAACTCTAACTCGAACTATATAAGAAATACTTCATGTAAAGTGTAAAATCTTACTAATTGGTGTTCTTTGATGAAGAAATATGTTTGATTTGAGCTTGAATTGGTATAGGTAGGGTTTGGGAATGAGTTTGTAGAGAGGGGTTTGAGCTGGGCTTCGTTTTGGGGAAAAAGGGGTTTCCTGCGCTTAAAAACGCATTTTGACCGATCTGCCAAAAACCGACCGGACCGGCGCCGGTTTGGCCCTGACTAGCGCCAGTTATGCTGCCATTTCACCACCTAAAACATTCTGTTTTGGACCGGTGCCGGTCCGGGTCTAACCGGTGCCGGTTTTAGGCCAATCGGGTGCCGGAAACGTCATTTTTCGCCCTAAACCGACCCCGATTGTTACCGTTCACACCCTAGATGTACCCCCAATGACATTTTAAACTACATTTCAACACCCAAATACTATCTAACATGACAACTAACTTAATACCATTTCATCCGGAATAACAATGATTATTACGGCGTAGTTTCGTTGCTTATCGGATACCGTCGCCTGTCACGTTCAAACATAATACAAACAGGTAAGTTCGAATACAATTATCACAAGGTTCATAATCACATAATATCCCTATTCTTCACATGTGTAGCACTCAAACCATGAGTCAAAACATGATCCTTTTGATTAATTAAACACATAGAAAGTATATAAGAAGTTGCGGGCGTTACAACCAACATCTGTTTTAGGTATAAAATAACATTCCTCGTTATTGGGAATCTTTCCCTCGTTAGAAAAGTTTCACCAAGATTTCTACAATCTCAGAAGTATATTCGAACTTTTAAAAGTAATAGAGATTTACTGTTTTAAACTCGTACCTTTCGATTGTGTCTGCTTCTATTCCTATAATTTTACTCACATGTAGATGTAGTTATGTACCTAATAAATTTGTCAATAATAAGGGCTATTTCATTGGAAAGTACGCTTTCTTGCAAAAAAAGTAATTTTAGTGGAAAGATTCTTAATACAGTACAAGTAAATTTAATAATTATCGAATTAAATTTATAAAACTAAATTTATAAAACCAAATTTATATGTTTGCTTAACGTAATTATGAGTTATTAAACTTTCACTAAAGGATAGGGAGGGGGTAAGTGTATATTTTTAATACTGCATAGGTTTAGGTGATAATATGTGAAATCTTAAGGAAGGTCAATGATAATTTCATTTTTAATATTAGTCAAGTATCTCCTATTTCAACGACCAATTGCTACAACTTCTAACATTTTCATTAGTTTTCAATGAAATCTGATACTTAATATGTTCGACGGTTCAACCATTTATTACAAAACTTAATCAGTTTTTATGATTTGTTTGAAATTTCAGAATATAAAATTCGCTATATATTTGTATCCATCCCCATAAATTTGAAGGGCTAGATATCATCTTTAAACATAAATAAATACCTAAATTCAAATAAAATATCTATTCATATATATCATTGGAAGTATTGAACATGTACACCATAGCAACGAGTGTAATATCTTCTATACTCTATGCTTGAGTTTTCTAGAATAGAGACTAAGAGGCCATATACTCAGATAGTGGGAAAATGAGAATAAATAAATACTAAACATATCTATTGATTGCGAATTATTTCATTTTTATAGATTTTCTATATTTTAAATTTGATTATATTCTAAAAATCATTATCTATCAAATGAGTGGCAATTTAAGGAAATTCGGACGTGCAACACACATGTGGATTAACTAGTTTAATACAAAGTAGCATAATTGACACATGTTATGGAGGCAAAATGTGTGTCATTAAGAAAAAGAAATAAACTTTCAAAAAATGAAAATAATAGTTGGTCATACAAACGTATTCCCTTTCATCCCATCCAATGTTCCACGCTAAAGAAAGAAAAACAATAGATATACATAAATATGAATCAATTAAACTAGCTTTTGTTATGATGACATCACTGTGACACTATCAAGGAGGAGATTACAGATTTAAATCTCACCCCGTTCAAAAAAGTTGGCTTTAACATAGAATATATACTAAGAGAGGTTAAAAAACTTTGTCCAAAGAAATATTTTTTGTTAAACACATAGAACTCCTTAAATGGCTAATTATTTTTTTTTTGTGAAAAGTACCGAAATAATTACTAATAGGAGTAATAGCTATATACAAAGTATAATTCCATGTATCTAGAAATAACCTATGGTGATGATATCTTAGAATTTTCATGTCACAATTCCTTCTTTTGAAGATTTCTACGGGAAGAGCATCCCACATAGAACAACTTTATGCTTTTGGATGAATTTTTAGTTTCAATATTGTTTACCCAATTCATTTGCACTAAATATTTTGTACATTTGATGTGAAGTTATTTTCCACTTCAATATGTATCAATATGTATACCGATGGTTGCAGACTTACACCCCTTAAATTGGTTCCATACTTAAAAAAGGGCCTAGTAATTAAAAAAGTTTTTGTGTGTATGCAGGTGATGAACATATTAACCTTCTCCGCGGAGCTCTTGGACCTCATAAAAAATGTGGACATTGTTTTTAATTTGAAACCTTAGAGCCCGTTTGGTAGTATCAAAATCGGTTGTTTTGGCCGATTCAGCTGAAATTTATGAAGTTCTGTTTGAAGTGGCTGCATTGGCTTATTCTGCTGATTTAAGAAAAAATTATTTTTAAAATATTTTATTAATAAAATAAAGAAAAAATTATATGTAAAAATAGCTAAAATAATCATCTACAGTAAGTTCAGTCAACAGTCAGAAAAGTAACTTCAACCTCATTTTTTCTGTTTATTACATATTCAGCATGCGAAAACAAAAAAAATGTAGAAGGTCGTTTGAAAACACTTATTATCCACTTGTCATTTTCATGAAATACGTTTGGAAAAATGAAAAATTACTAGTTTTCCATTTCTTTTCCTGCTCCGTACCCCTGGCTCGTCTTAACTTCTCCACCGCCGTAATCTGCAAATACGAAGAACGTCTACTTTAAGGCTGGTATGTATCGCCAATTCAATAACGAACACCGGAACACGGCCAATAATAATACATAATTACAATCCCCGCACCTCATAACAAAATCAGTGGGAAGCAAAATTGATTACATCAATTGAGAACAATAGCTGTAATCGTAATCAATTTTGGTTCTAAAGGATTCGCACCTCTTAATTTTTTATGGTAGAACAATAGCACGTGAATCTCGATCACGTATATTCTCTTGTCGTTGGTATGGCCGTATGAGTTATTACTAATTCTTTGAATTCATCTAGTTCGATCATTTATATTCATGTTCTTATAGCAATTTAATTGTTGCTCTGCGTATATGCTAAGCTATCTGGGTTATGGAGGAGCAAGACAGAATCAGTGATCTCCCTGCGGATATACTTGACAAGATTATGGGATTATTGTGGATTGGAGAAGCCGCTAGATGTGCCGTCTTGTCCACAGCTTTGAGAAATGCTTGGTACAATCTTACCGAGCTTGATTTTGATGAGTCCTTCTATGATAACATTTACTCAGATTGTGATGAAGACCCAGCCATATGGCATGATATAGTAAACGGTTACCTCAACAAGCACAATGGAACCATTAGAAAATTTGTAGTCTATTTCCGGCTTCAAGCGTGTAAGTGTGAATTCAGTAAGTTGTTCCGTTCTGTCACAAAGAAAGGTGTTCAAGATCTCGAGATTGTTCTATATAGATTTGGTGGTACGAGATACTCGCTGCCGTCCTGCATCTTTAAATGCCCTACACTGAAGATTTTTAGTGCCACTGGTGTTCAAATAGACCCAATTAAAGCTCATTTCATATTTCCCAATGTCACTTCTCTTGTTTTTTATGGTGTTCGTTTTTGTCCAAGGAGTCCTAATCTTCACGCTCTTGAAGTTCCAATTCTCCAAAGCTTGAAGTTTTGTGGATGTAAAGACATCTCCTATTTTAACATTAATGCTCCGAAACTTTGTAGTTTATCCATCATAGAATGTTTCACTAGCATTGCTACTGGCTATGAAAATCACTACTATGACGACTATGAAAATGTCTTTGAAAAGTGGCTATTTAAATCCACATACGATGAAAGCAGTTACGATAGCGATGATAGAGATATGTTTTGCTATGACCCTGTCAAGGAAGAAGACATGTGTGATGGTGGATTTCTCCCTATGAACTTGTATTTGGGATCTTTTTGTAGACTTCACTTGTCTTTTTTTGATATTTGGGTATGTGTCCTAAGCCAGACGCTTTATGCAGACTATCCATTTATTTTACATGTTTTATAGAACATGATCTAACTTTATTTTATAACTTCTGCAAGGAAATCGTTGACGAGTTTAGTAGAATGAGACTTCCAATGCCAGCATTAGATGTGCAGTACCTAAACCTCACAGGTGTCTTTTTTACAGATTCAGATTGGATCTCTAAGTTTGTGAGTTTCCTACAAAGTTGCCCAAAACTATGCGAACTTGATATATGTTTTCAGGTAATTCTTGTTTTCCCATATGAATTATTTAGTGATGATTATATCTGTCACAGTTCTACTTGCCATCCTTTGTCGGTAAATGCTGAGTTGATCTTATTCATCTTTTTTGTGTAGGTTAAGGATCATGAATCTTCTTCGGGTGTTTATAATCTACTTTACAGTCACAACATGCTCAAAACTTTGAAGTTTAGATTATTCTCAGGGTCCAAATCTGAAGTGCAATTTCTAACGAGGCTAATAGCCTGCTTCCCAACATGCAAGAAGGTGTCTATTTTTTGCGAGAGAAGGTTCGGGTCCAGGAAGAAGGCAAATATTAAAGAGGAGATTCTGAGTTCTAGTTGTCTTTCATCAACGGCAAAAATTTATTTGAAGTATAACAAAGATGCATTAGGGGAAATATCTAGATATTACTAAAAATATAGTGTTTTCCTAATGTATGACTAGGGAGTGTTTAGAACTGATTCTGCTTTTGCTTCTTGTTTAAAGCAGAAGCATAATCAGTTTTAGGAAGTTGGTCTCCCCCAACTTTTAAAAAATTTCTTCTATGAGAAAATTAGAGCATCAGAAGTACTTTTGCACTTTCATCTAAACATTGCAACTTTTACTTCTGCTCCCTGAAGAAGCAGAAACAGTTTTAAGAATTAGATCCAAACAACCCTCAATTATGTTTTGTATGTGTGTATGACTACATATCATTAAAATCGTGGACGCATGTGTGGTATAATTAGGGAAATAACCATTGGGGAAAAATCAAGTATAAATTGTGCTTATTGTGCAAATATCTGTACGATGCCCCTTGACGTTATTTGCAATGCATATTGAGGTTCAAAGTGTTGCATATTATATAGTCATAAAATAGCAGCTGCACATTAACGTTGAACGAGTTGCACCCTAGAAAAGTTAGGTTTTATTACAAAAATGTCACCTCACCTTTATATCCTTTAGATCAATTCATTGGATGGCCAAAATAAGTTTGTACTTTGTAAATTAAGCATGGTTTGTATTTGATCTCTATTCAATAACCATAATACCCTTATAATTAAATTTTGTTTTAATAATATCTACCTTGTCAACAAATGCACAATTTCATGTACAACTAAAAAAGCCCACGGCTAAAAAAGCATCGACTACAATAGAATTGGGACACCGGACACCAAATGCACATACAATTATTATTCATGCACAATGAACATAGACAATATTAAAAAAGCACATATAATTATTATCTACACACGAATAAAATAATTGAACACGCGAAGAATATATTAACCACACAAACAATATAAATAAACACATAGACAATAGCTTTCTAAAACGAACATTGTTTTAACTATATTGTCTGTGTATGATTAAGAATGTTTTTACTTGGACTGTAATTTGCTGGTCTGGTCTGGTCTGAACTGGTCTGGTAAGGTCTGGTTTCCTTATATTTTTATAACTATCCAAGTCTGGTCTGGTCTGGTCTGGTCTGAACTGGTCTGGTCTGGTCTGGACTGGTCTGGTCTGGACTGGTCTGGACTGGTCTGGTCTGGTCTGGTCTGGGGCAAATTAAAGTCCAAGTAAAAACATCCTAATAGATTATTCATATGATCATTTATTTTGTCTATGTGTTGTTTATATTGTCTATGCATGCTGAAAACATTGTCCTTGTATTCGTAGCAAATAATTGTCAGTGTGCTTGTTTATATTGTCTATGTGTAGCTAAAACATTGTCCATGTGTTCATTGATTTTGTCTGTGAATATAAAATAATTGTATGTGTATTCATTTATAGTGTCTGTGCATGGTTAAAACATTATTCATGTGTTCATTTATATCTTGTTTGTGCGTAGAAGTAATTCTTTGTGTGTTAGTTATTTTGCCGGTGTGTAGCAAACAAGTGTTTGTATTGTCTATATGGCAAAATAACATCACATTCTCAATAACACCAAAGTCATACTTGTTTTCATTACCAATAAGATACATATTTGTAAATAAACATAATATACACTAACATTTTTAACCGTACATTTTTTTAATTAAAATGGTAGAAGTAATATTATTTACAAAGGATCCGAAAAGAAAATAGCAAAATGCAATCAAAGAAATCAATTGGATGCAATCAAAGTCATTCACAGTAGCACCATCAACATGAACAACTTGAGCAGTTACATAAGAGAATCTGAAGGAAGACCAAGGAAAGCAACCAGTGATGAAAACCTCTTCAGGTTCCCTCTTCAGATACTCTTTGTTTGCAAGCACCTCTTCAGCCAGAGAGGTTTTGATATACCAAGGTGCTACACAATCCAAGTTCTTAGTAAGTTGGTTCATAGCTCCTTTGGTAGCGCCATAAATAGATCCAACGGAAACATGTACCAAGCCAGCAACATGGTAAGAAGACTCTAAGCCATTAACTGTTGAGATTTAGAGGAATAAAAGACAATTTTATTAATGTAAAATATTGAGTACAAAGGTGGGGAGTCTCTCTTACTCTCACTCTTGAGGATGCTTCACTCTCTTGGTGGTGATGGAGTTGTGTCCATCCACCTCTATTTATACTAGCTAGCCTAAGGAGGTGAGAGTGTTTCTAGATCCTTCCACATTAATTACATTCTAGATTATTCTCACATCTATTACATTCTAGAGTATTTCTATCTAACTCTCATTCAATACTCTATCTAGAGAATTCTACACTTCCTAGAATTCATAAAGAAGATTATAAAAGATTCCAGAGAACTTAATAAAGAAGATTCTAGAAGTTTCTAGAGAGTCGTTGACTTTTCAACACTCCCCCTCAACGACTACTCTATCTTATTGCAGATCTTGCAACCATGCCAAGTTGATCCCTCAAGCTCTCGAACTGCGTAGTGTTTAGTCCTTTGGTGAACAAATCAGCAATTTGATTTTCTGTCCTGATGTATTTCATCTCAATATCTCCTTTAAGGACCTTTTCTCGTATGAAATGATAATGAACCTCCACATGTTTTGTCCTTGCGTGAAAGATTGGGTTCTCCGCGAGTCGTATTGCTGATTGGTTATCACAATGTAATGTTATTGGCTCCTCAGTTGGTTGATGAAGATCTTTTAGAAGTTGCATCAACCATGCACTCTCTTGAGCTGCCATTGCTGCTGCTCTATATTCTGCTTCTGTAGTTGATAATGACACTGTTGGTTGTCTTTTGCTACACCATGACACTGTGCCCGTTCCAAGACTAAATGTGTAACCAGTGGTAGAGCGACGAGTATCATGATCTCCAGCATAATCAGCATCACAATGCCCTACCACTTCAAATGATGCATCTCTTTTATAAAATATGCCGAAATCCAAAGTTCCTTTTACGTACCTCATTATGCGCCGGATTGCATCTAAGTGTGGCTTCCTTGGCTTCTCCATGAACCGACTCACTACTCCTACCGCGAACATGATATCCGGCCTTGTGATTGTTAAGTAGATAAGACTTCCAACAAGTTGTCTGTACATTGTGGAGTCCTCCAATTCTTGACCTTCAACTGTGCACATCTTCACATTCGGCTCTATTGGAGTTGATATTGGTTTGCAATCAAGCATCCCAAACTTTTCAAGTATGTCTTTTGCATACTTGTGTTGGCACAAGAATATTCCTTCTTTAGTACGTTCAACCTCAAGGCCCAAGAAATGTTGTAGTTCTCCAAGCTCTTTCATTTGGAACCTCACTGATAAATTTCCTCGTATTTCATTGATCTCCTTCTCATGATTCCCGGTGATGATTAGATCATCCACATATATCAATATGACCGATACTTTCCCACCGATATACTTCACAAACAAGCTTGAGTCAGAAGGAGCAATTGAGTAACCACTTTGTACCAAGAATTCAGCTATCTTCCCATACCATGCTCGTGGTGCCTGTTTCAATCCGTATAATGCTTTCTTGAGTTTGCACACAAACTTTGGATGTGATTTGCTTATAAATCCCTCAGGTTGCTCCATGTAGATGCTTCGATCTAGCTCTCCATGTAAGAAAGCATTCTTGACGTCCATTTGCCACAACTTCCAAGATTGTCTTGCTGCTAGTACTAGTAGGACTCGTACAGTAGTGATCTTCGCTACTGGGCTGAACGTCTCATCATAATCAAGGCCATACTTTTGAGAGAAACCTCGAGCGACTAGGCGTGCTTTATATCTTTCAATTGATCCATCTGGCCGAGCTTTCAACTTATAAACCCATTTACAAGTTATTGGACATACCTCTTTGGGTTTAGGAACCAACTCCCAAGTCTCTTCTCTCTAAGGGCTTTGATCTCCTCTTCCATTGCCTTTTTCCATTCGGGACTTTGTGAGGCGTCTTTGAAAGTAACTGGTTCTTTTGGCCCATTGTCTTCCATTAGTGCCGCATTTGCATACTTTGGGTTTGGCCTCCTTCTTCTTGTCGACCTTCGGAGAGACTCATTTGGCTCTTCAAATTCCTCATACTGACTTGGCCTTGCTTCTTCATTAATCTTATCATGACATCCTGTTTGCCATGGACCTTTATAAATCTCAGGTGGTTCTTCATTTGATACTTCCACATTTGTGTCACCTTTTTCTTCTTCTCGTTCTTTTAAGATCTCTTCAATTTCTTGTGAATCTGGAAGAACAACTTCTTGAGATGACCACCATGATGATGCTTCATCAAATACCACATTTCTTGACGTGTAGCATTTTCCAGTTGTGGGATCACAACACTTCCATCCTTTCCTTTCATCATCATAACCCACGAATATGCAGCGAATTGCCTTTTTATCAAACTTGTTACGTAAGTGATCAGGAACAAATACGTAGCATACACAACCAAACACCCTGAAGTGACTTACCGTGAGCTTGAGATTTTGTAATTTCTCAAATGGTGAAACGAATCCAAGCTTTGCTTGCGGCAACCTGTTAATCACATGGGCTGCCGTTTTCATACACTCGGCCCAAAACCGTGGGGGTACATTCTTCGAGTGCAGCATACTTCTTACAGTCTCCGCCAAGTGTCTATTCTTTCTCTCTGCAACCCCGTTTTGTTGAGGCGTACTTGGGCATGAGAATTGTCTTCTTATTTTACACTCTTTTAGAAATTTATTAAATTCTTCAGACGTGTATTCTCCCCCGTTATCTGTGCGTAGGCACTTGATATTGTGGTCTACTTCTGCCTCAACCTTTTCTTTGAATACCTTGAACTTGTTTAAAGCTTCTGATTTTTCTTTCATAAAATCAACCCAAACAAATCTTGAAAAATCATCGATGAATGTAATCATGTACCTGAAGCCGCAAACTGAAGGTTGCTTTACCTTCCCGAATACGTCTGAGTGTATTAGCTCTAGCGGCGCTTTGGCTCTGAACTTTGACTCCTCGTATGGAAGCTGATGAGCTTTTCCATATTGACACCCAGCGCAAACCACATCATCGTGGATTTCTAGTTTGGGGAGACCCTTTAGCATTTCCTTCTTCATCATCACCTTTAATTTCTTGTAACTCACATGCCCAAGACGTGCGTGCCACAAGTCCGGTGTCTCATTTTTCCGTGTCTTATCTACATATGCCGTTTGTGCAGACATTACATAGATAGACTCAACTCTTCGTCCCTCCATGATTGGTTCCTCATTTTCTTGTAGATGCCGATATACTTTAACATAGTCTGGGCCGAACACCACATATTTGCCAGATCTTGTGAGTTGTGACACCGATAGT